ACAGCAACATTGAAAAAGGAAATGGAGGGCCTGATTCTTGCAGCCCAAGAACAAGCAATTAGAACAAATGCCATCAAAGTCATAATTGAAAAGTCCACAACAGATTCCAAGTGTAGACTCTGCAAGGAAGCAGATGAAACGATGGATCACATACTCAGTTGCTGCAAGAAGATCACACAGATGGACTATAAGCAGAGGCATAATGCTGTTGCTCAGATGATCCAAGGGAACTTGTGCCACAAATACCATCTGCCTGCAACAAAGAACTGGGAAGATCGCAAGCCTGAAAAAGTTACAGAAAATGAACACATAAAACTACTCTGGGACTTCCAAATTTAGACTGACAAAGTTTTGGAGCACAATACTCTTGATCCTATGAGCATGGAAAAAAAACAAAGTATGGATCATCGATGTTGCAATCCCAGGTGGCGGCAGAATTATCAAGAAGCTGCTGGAAAAGCTTATACAATATGAGGATTTAAAGATTGAACTACTAAGAATGGCACAAGCCAGGAAAAATGATCCCAGTGGTCCCAAGCTGACATTTATCCACCTTTCTTCCCAAGAGATTTGTACGGTTTTTCAGAGGCAACGCTGATGGAATCGTTCCAGGAGTTGAGTATGATGTCCACATTTCACAGGTGTATAGCAGGATTGGGAGGACAATAGCTTTATAAACAAGCACCTTGGTTTCCCTACGGATGTCCATAGGGAGATACATCAGAGTCCTAGACACTTGGAAAGTGTCCAATGTGTGATCAAATACAAAAGCCAGCATAATGATCTTGTTTGCTGTGTACTAATCTTGTTGTTATTATTATTTTAGTCCCCTCTATGGATCTAAGTCCCTTTGTTTTCAGGAAGATAAACTATATTATCTGTCAAATGGTTTGCTTGTAACATTGCCATTTTGAGCATATAGGTTGAGCATCCCTAATCCAGAATCCCAATATCCAAAATACTCCACAATCCAAAATTGTCCACAAGTGGTTGAAATGGCGACATCATGGTAGTCCCTTGCCTGCATCCTATTGTGTAGTCCCAAATACAGCAGGCCCATTTAATCAATTGTTGGATTATAAGTCAACATATCTTTAAATCCCATTGATCCAATGGGGCATTTTTAGTTGCTACTAAGATTAGGTTTGAGCTAGAATGGAAAACAGAGTGATGAGTCAGTGGTGCATGAATGGAAGAGCAACTTAGGATCCACATTGGTGAATGTGTGAGGCAGACATTAGACATGCAATGTAATGAACAGAGAGTCTTAAAATTGATTTAGAGTGGCTTAGTCTTAATAATGATCATAGGTTTTTGATTGTTTATTTTATTTGATTAAGCATATTTATGATTTTGTGAATTAATTAATTAATTAAACAAATAAGTCTTCAGAATTATCATGAGTAAGGTGACAAGGCTGGGAAAGACAAAAGCAGTAGAGAGAGAAAAAGGTAAACGACATGGCAATGGTTTGGCTCAAACAATAAAGCCATTGCCCTTGAGTTTGCCTGGCTCTTGATAACATGGCCTTTCAGAGGTCTCTCATTTATAGGGTCACTATAAGTCAAAGCTGACTTGGAGGCACATAACACCAGCCACGTCTTAATAAACCTTACTTGGCATTAAAACTCACCGTATGACCCTCTCTCATTTTAAACCACATTACTCATTGGCTGTGAAGGCTACTTGGAGAAAAACCCTATATGTCATTTCCTGAGTTCCTTGGAAGAAGGATGGGACTTAATTAAGACAACACTGTGTAACACGATTTTTGTTCCTGGGTTATAAACATCATTTCCTAATTGGTTTTATCATAAAAAACATGGGAAAAGTTTATTAAACTGCAAAAACTTTGTTTTTGCGGGACATCCTGCAGCACATTTTGCTATAGTTTTTCAGTGAATATCTCATATGTATAGTATATGTCTATATAATTGTAATTTTTTCTCAAATAAAGATAAAAAACAAATTTAAAAAATGACTGATAAAATGCAGGTCTATGTGTGAATCATATATATCTATATCTATGGCTGGATGGCTCTTTATCAGGAGGGCTTTGATTATGTTTTGGACTGGATGACTTTAAGGCAGTATTTCTCAACCTGGGGGTCGGGACTCTGGAGGGATTGCGAGGAGGTGTCAGAAAGGTTGCCAAAGACCACCAGGAAACATAGTATTTTCTGTTGGTCATAGGCATTTTGTGTGGGATGTTTGGCCCAATTCTGTTGTTGGTGGGGTTTAGAATGCTCTTTGATTGTAGGTGAACTGTAAATCCCAGTAACTACACCTCCCAAATGTCAAGGTCTATTTTCCCCAAACTCCATCTGTGTTCGTATTTGGGCATATTGAGTATCCGTACCAAATCTGGTCTAGATCCTTCATTGTTTGAGTGCACAGTGCTCTCTGGATGTAGGTGAACTACAGCTCCAAAACTCAAGAACAATGCCCACCAAACCCTTCTAGTGTTTTCTACCAGTCATGGCAGTCCTGTGTGCCAAGTTTGGTTCAATTCCATCGTTGGTGGAGTTCAGAATGCTCTTTAACTGTAAGTTTACCATAAATCCCAGCAACTACAACTCCAAAAATGACAAAATCAATTTTTTGAGTTAGTAGGTGTCTTGTGGCCAAATTTGGTGGCAATTTGTCCAGCGGTTTTTGAGTTATGATGTCACTCAAAATGAACAGAGCATTTATATATATATAGATAGATTTTAAAATAATTATGTGCATGTAACAAAGAATGTGTACATTGCACCATAGAAAGCCAAGGTGTCACTATTTCAGCCACCCATGTGGCTATTTTCTGATTTCGGGGTATTTTGATAGGCCTGGCAAGGGATGCTCAACCTGTAATTACATTGATGGCTTGTTATTTAGCTTCTCCCTTCTTACTGTGTTTTTACTCCCTCATTGGGCCCTTCCACACAGCCATATAAACCAGAATATCAAGGCAGAAAATCCCACAACATCTGCTTTGAACTGGGTTATCTGAGGCCTCTTTCACACAACTGAATAAAATCCCCCATTTTCAGTGTGGACTCAGATAACCTAGTTCAAAGCAGATATTGTGGGATTTTCTGCCTTGATATTTTGGGTTGACTATCTGGAAGGGCTCTGGGTCCACACTGCCATATATTCCAATTCAAACTAGATAATGTGGGATTTTATTCAGCTGTGTGGAAGGGGCCATAGGGTGCCTCTACCTACATAGTGGAATTAATGCAGTTTGACACTACTCGAACTTCCGTGTCTTAAGGCTACGGAATCCTGGGAGTTGTGGTTTTACAAGGCCTTTTCTTTCAAAGAGTGCTGATGCCCAGGTAAACTACAACTCCCAGTCTTGAGTCATGGCAGTGTAAAGCACTGTGAAACCTTACACATTGAGAAATTTCCCTATTGGTAAGCAGTCTCTTGTATCCTATGGAGTTTGATGAAGAGCAATGGAATCCCATGGAAAGAAATTGTTTTAAACTGGATCACTGTCTCTTGTATCTTATAGGCTTTGATGCAGAACAATAGGATCCCATGGAAAGCTATGGTTTTAACCTAGTGCACTGTCTCTTGTGGGTTTTTATCCCATAGAAAGAAGTGCTGACAATATAAGAGGGGCGATTCTCTACTCTTAAAGGGACAGTCACCCATGCATTCCCCTCTCAATGTGATGAGACTACAACTCCCAAGATTCTGTAGTCTTGAGCAATGGCAACTTTAAAGTTCTGTTAAAAGCTGCATTAATTCTGCAGTCTAGGTGCTGTCTGAGATTATATAGAGCAGGCTCTCAGTTAACCAGCACCCATGTGGGTTTGGTAGATGCAATATAAAAGTAATTTCTGGTTGCTTGAGGGTTATTATTTTTAAAGAGTGCAAAAACTATACCATACCATTGTCCTGACTTGATATTAATATTCAAACTCAGTAATCAAAAGCAAAGACAAACTTACTGTGACATGGTTTTGCTGTGTTATAAAAACCTGTTTTAAAAATATGCTTTGAATGGGTTGCTGTGCGATTTCCAGGCTGTATGGCCATGTTCTAGAAGCATTCTCTCCTGACATTTCACCCACATCTATGGCAGGCATCCTCAGAGGTTGTGAGGTCTGTTGGAAACTAGGCAAGTGGGATTTATATATCCTGTGGAATGTCTTATCTGTTTAAGGCAAGTATGGATGCTGCAATTGGCCATCATGATTATCATTGAATGGCCTTGCAGCTTCAAGGCCTGGCTGTTTTCTGCCTGGAGGAATTCTTTGTTAGGAGGTGTTAGTTAGTCCTGATTGTTTCATGTCAGGAATTCCCCTGGAGTGCTGCTCTTTATTTACTGCCTGATTTTAGAGCTTTTAATAGATTGTGTTCATTTTCATGGCTTCCTCCTTTTATGCTGAAATTGTCCACATGCTTGTGGATTTCAACAGCTTCTCTGTGTAGTCTGACATAGAGGTTTTAAGAGTGGCCCAACATTTCTGCATCTTCTCATAAGATGCTGTGTCCATATTCTTTGCTTTTTTTTGCTAGAGAGTTCTGGCAAACTGAAAGTCTCCTGTATTGTTTTGCATTAATTTTCATATTAAAATACAGCAATTAAAAGCAAATTAAGGCAAACTTACTATAACTGTATTACCAAAACAGCTTTGTGGATGCAGTGTTGTTACTTGGAAATTTTGACGGTTGCTTGAGAGTCCCTGTTGCTTGAACTCCGGTTAACTGAGAGTCTACTTGATTTTTGTGCCCTCCCATCCACCTGTCTGTTGAATGCAAAGGTGGGTTATAAATTGAGAAAGGATCACAACAACGTGTTTGGGGGGAGGCATTCCTGCAATGCGCTCGAAGTCAGCGAAAGGCACTCTGCACATGCTCAGAGGCATGGCGGGTTTTCCCCTTCGAAAGGTGCGTCGCCAGCCCTGGAAGTATGACCCCCCCCCGCCCCCCCACGCCTCACCGGAGCTGAGAGCCTTCCTCCAGATCTGATGCCAAGGTCCATCCAAGCCCTCCTCCCCTTCCCTCCATAGGCTCCGCCCACTATGGGGGCGTTGCTGTTCCGCTCTCGTCCCCTTCCGTCCGCACAAGCCGAAGAGGTAGCTGATCCGCCATGGATGGTCTCCTTAGCCGGGATCCCGTGGATATTGAGGTACCCATTCGCCCAAGCGGGTTCCAGGGGGGCAGACACGCCTGGAGGTGGAGGCTGACCAGCCAGCCAGAAGGAACTCTGGCCCAAGCTTTTGGGAAGCTTGTTTCTTCCTGGTTGCAACTCTGCTTTGGAGCAGTTGTGGGGGGATCCAAAAGGGTGCCTCTGAGGGCGTGCAAAGTGCCCCCCTCTCCAGTCTCCTAGGCTTCCTTGTGTGTCCCCAAGTGTGTGGCTCAATGCCAACCCAAGTGCTTCTGAGGCCCCTTCAACACTACCATATAAAATCCAGATTTTATATGGAATATATGGCACTGTGGACTCAGGTAACCCAATTTAAATGGGATATACGGCTGTTTGGATGGGCCCTCAGGTACCTTCTATGATGACATATAATCCAGATTATCAAACCAGGTAATCCAGATTATCTGCTTTGAACTGGATTATATGAGTCTACACTCAGATAATGTGGGATTCCCTGCCTTGATATTCTGGGATATAGGGCTGTGTGGAAGGACCCATTAGTCCACACTACCATATAATCCAGCTCAATGTGGATTTATACACCTGTGTGGAAGAGGCCATATAACCCAGAATATCAAGGCAGAAAATCCCACAATATCTGCTTTGAACTGCATTAATCTGAGTCCACAGATAATGTGGGATTTTCTGCCTTGATATTCTGGGATATAGGGCTGTGTGGAAGGGCCCTGAGGCTGCATCTACACTGCCTTATATCCCAGAATCTGATCCTGGATTATCTGCTTTGAACTGGATTATATGAGGATGGAACTACACTGTCATATAATCCAGATTATTAAAGCAGATAATCCATATTATTTTTGAACTGGATTATCTCAGACTACACTGGTGTATAATCCAGTTCAAATCAGATAATCTGGATTATCTGATTTGATAATCTGGATTATATGTCATCATAGAAGGCACCTGAGGACRCTTCCAAACAACCGTATATCCCAGAATATCAAGGCAGAAAATCCCACAATATCTGCTTTGAATTGCATAATCTGAGTCCACACTCAGATAATGTGGGATTTTCTGCCTTGATATTCTGGGATATAGGGCTGTGTGGAAGGGCCCTGAGGCTGCATCTACGCTGATTTATATCCCAGAATCTGATCCTGGATTATCTGCTTTGAACTGGATTATATGAGGATGGAACTACACTGGCATATAATCCTGATTATCAAAGCAGATAATCCACATTATCTGCTTTGAACTGGATTATCTGAGACTACACTGCTGTATAATCCAGTTCAAAGCAGATAATCTGGATTTTATCATGCAGCATAGAAGGGGCCTGAAGCCCCTTGCACACAGCTATATAACCCAGGATATCAAGGCAAAGAATCCCACAATATCTGCTTTGAACTGGGTTATCTGAGTCCACACTGCCATATATTCAAGTTCAACGCTCACGATGTAGACTTTTATTCAGCTGTATGGAAGGAGGCTGTGTCTATATTGCTAAATAATCTGGGATAAAAAATAATCTTGGATATAGGTCAGTGTCGACCTGGTCCGAATGCCAGATACTACTATTTGCCTTGGCCCAATGCCATGAAATGCTGGAAGTTACAGGCCCCTTCTACACAGCTGTATAAAATCCAGATTATTTGATCTCTTCTTAGGCTGGATCTACATTGACATATAATCCGGATTATCTGTTTTGAACTGGAATATGAGTCTCAGTCTACACTGCCCTTGACTGTTGTCATTCTGCAGCTCAGGGCCCTTCCACACAACCATATAACCTAGAATATCAAGGCAGATAATCCACAATACCTGCTTTGCACTGGATTATCAGAGTCCACACTACCATATAACCCACTTCAAAGCAGATAATGTAGATTTTGTACAACTTTGTGGAAGGGGCCTCTGAATAAGGCCTTTACTTCCAAAAATTGGTTCAGTTGAGGGTTGAGCACGAGGTATCCCTTGAGATGATTGTGATATGGAAAGTGTCTAGGACTGTGTGATGTATCGGCGAATAATGCGTGCAGATCCCAGTAAGGTGGCCTTCTGCAGCTGGCAGATGGTAATGTTGTCAGTGCCGATTGTGTTTAAGTGCAGGCCAAGGTCTATAGGCACTGCACCCAGTGTGCCGATCACCACTGGGACCACCTTTACTGACTTGTGCCAGAGTCTTTGCAGTTCGGTCTTTAAATCCTCATATCGTGTCAGTTTTTCCAGTTGTTTCTCTTCAATCCTGCTGTCACCTGATGGCAACATCAACAATCCATACTTTGTTTTTTAACACGATCATGAGGTCAGGATTATTATTATTATTATTATTATTATTATTATTATTATTACCTTCCTGCTTCAGTAGTACCTATTGATCTACTCACATTTGCATGTTTTGAACTGCTAGGTTGTTGGTAGCTGGGACTAACGGCGGGAGCTCACCCCACTCCCCAGTTTCAAACCACCAGCCTTTCGGTCAGCAAGTTTAGCAGCTCAGCGATTTAACTGCTACGCCACCAGGGGCTCCCGTTAAGTTCCAATTGTGTGCTACTTACTTTGAAAGTAGTTGTTATACTACATAAACTTGGTTTTTGTAGCTGCCACAAACAGTGTTGAATTGGTTGAGAGTATATGAGATATTCATTGAAAAACTATAGCAAAATGTGCTGGAGGATGTCCTACAAAACAAAGTTTTTACAGTTTAATAAAATTTTTCCATGTTCTTATGATAGAAACAATTAGGAAATGACATTTATAACCAGGAACAAAAATCTTGTTACATAGTGTAATCAGATCCGGAAATGTGGAAAGCCAACTGTGTGTCATTCCACCCTTCTTGGGTGTTTCATGATGAACAGTCTTCAAGGACAGTTGGTGGGCAACTTTAAATAAGTATATACCTAAATTAATTAACACATGGAGATGAGCAATGGCTTTTTAAAAATTCCCTGGAGATAATGGCCATCTTAAATTTAGTTCATTAGGCTCCCAGCTGGTGAAAAGATTAGATGGCTATGATCTTCTCATTTTGCCCATTTTCCAGCCGTGTTCCTATTTCTGGCACACAGTTTCCACTGTATCACTTAAAAACACTTGTGAATGTGTGTGCACTCACAGCACATATGCATGTCAAGTGTGGCTTCGGAATATTTAGTGGTAAGGCATAATTTGGATTATCTTGCTTGAGGCTTTTGATTATCTAAATAGTTTAAGTTTTATAATTAATAATAATAATAAATAATACAACTTTATTTATATACCTTTGCCTTTCCATACAAAAAAGAAAATAAATGCCTTGAAGAGACTGGCTGGCACGAGCCTCCCTCCAACCTCACATGGTCTTCCTCATCTGCGTATGTGCACCATGCTGCCTGCTCTCCCCTCCCCGCTTGGAGTCTCAGAAACAGCCCTCTCTTTGACTGAGAGGAAGGCTTTTGGTGGGAGGATTCACCATCTGTTTCCAAAAAGGAAGAGAAGGACAGGTGGAGAGATCTTCAGCCTTCTCTGCCAAAGGGATTCCTAAGACCATCAGAAATATATGTTTTCTGATGGTATTTGGTGACTCCTCTGAAACCCCTCGTGACCCTACTAGAAGTCCTAACCCCCAGGTTGAGAAACGCTGCTTTAAATTAAATATATTAATCTTCCTGTTTGAAAAACTGGTGTTCTCAAAATGGACAGAGAGCTTATAGAGGTGGAGCAAGTACTTTCTTATATTAGAACCATATATTGATCAAGCCCTTAGTAAAAGCGTTGACTTAACTTTTCTTTTATTATATTTACTTTATCTACAAATGCACTTGCCATAATGGCTTTTGATACTTTTCTTCTTTTAATTTGTACCCAAGCAATAGAATTGTTATTCTTAATGAAATTCCTTGGTTTAACTAGTTGAAATGCATGATGAGTTGAACTCTTGAAGTCAATGCTTCTAAGGAATCCCGTGTTCATTTGAGTTCGTGAAGATCTGATTAATTATCTACCTGTACTCAGTACCCTTAAAAACCTTAGTGTTGACTGTTCTGGTGTTGTGTAACTCTCATTTATTTTCATTGGACTTGCACAAAAGAAATGTTTAGTGGGCTGAGTTCCTTTGAACTGTTTCATAATTGAACCTACGTATTTGAAGAATGTTACTTGCCTGGCAAATAACACGATTCTCCCGGAGTCTTGAATTGAAAGTTCAGTGCTACAGGTTATGTAGCCTTGATAGTACATCTGTTTAAACAGTTGTGAAGAAATGATGAAAACAAGGTAGAAAATAAATGAAAGGAAATACAGAAATAACAGTAACATGAGTATCGAATTTTGACTTTGCAGTAGAATGTCTTCCAGTTAGAAAAAATATAGAAAGAGATTGCCTTTGTGTTTTGAATCCCATTGATTTTGAGACTTAGAAATACTTAACTTTTATGCTATTATGCCTATGGTATCTATATATATAAAAATGCTCTGTGCATAATGAGTACCTTAAAAACAAAAGAACCAATGAACGAAATCACACCAAATTTGGCAACAAAACATCTCACAATACAAGGAGTGACCATCACTCAAAAATTCATGATTTTGTCATTGGGAGTTGTAGTTGCTGGGATTTATAGTTCACCTCCAATCAAAGAGCATTCTGAACTCCATCAACGATGGAATTGAACCAAACTTGGCACATAGAACTCCCATGACCAACAGAAAATACTGGAAGGGTTTGGTGGCCATTGACCTTGAGTTTGGGAGTTGTAGTTCACCAACATCCAGAGAGCACTGTGGACTCAAACAATGATGGATCTGGACCAAACCTGGCACAAGCTCTCAATACGCCCAAATATGAACGCAGATGGAGTTTGGGGGAAATAGACCTTGACATTTGGGAGTTGTAGTCACTGGGATTCACAGTTCACCTACAATCAATGAGCATTCTGAACCCCACGAACAACAGAATCGGGGTAAACTTCCCACACAGAATCCCCATGACCAACAGAAAATACTTAAGGCCATCCAATCCAACTCCCTTCATCAGGGCA